GCTGATGGTTTTCCAGAGTTGCCGCAACGTTCCACAACACCGCCACAAGTGAGCGAGGGAGGCCCCCCTTTCTCCAGAGCCTCCCCACACTGTCACCGTTCCTTCCACTCCGGCTGTCCTGAGGGTGTGAGCGGCAGCTCCTCCTTTTGATGGGCGTTTACTTGACGCCTGATGCTCTGGGAGAGCAGGTAGCAGCTTGGCGGTCACGGTGTGCGCACCTGCCACGCCGTGTCTGGGTTTGATCCTGGCTCTGGCTTCTGGCTCCAGCTTCCTGCTAATGCAGACTCTGGGGGGCAGTGGCGATGGCTCAAGAAATTGGGTTCCTGCCACCCCTGAGAGGGACCTGGATTGTGTTCCTGGCTCCTGGTTCTGACCCCAGCCGAGGCCTGGCCATTGCTGGCGCTTGAGGAGCGAGCCAGCAGACAGGAGCTCCACTCTGTCTCTCCTCCTCTCAGCTGAAAGCTTTCTGAAGATAGAAAAGACTGGGAAGCCTGGAGTTGCCCAAGAGAAGGTGAGTGAGGCTTGGCCTCTGTAGAGCTGATCCTTCAACAGGAGGGTTCTGGATCAAGTGAACGTGGGTCCTCCAGTATCTTACCTTCTAAGGAGGCTGTAATAGAATAAAAGATTGTAAATAGATGCCGTTGAGCATATTTTTATCTTTGTTGCCCTTGTATATATAATCGTTTTTACGAAACATGTTCAAATAATTTGCTGATTTAAAAATTAGGTTTTCTTACTTTATTGAGAAGGAATTCTTATTAACTATTTTTTGACTGTTTTCTCGCATTCTCCTTCGTGTCCTTTGAATCACAGGGTTTTTAGATTTCGGGGAAGCACACTGGATTCTCCAGTTCAGCTCCTGCAGCGGTGCTGCAGTAGTGGGTAACTCACTGGACAGTCTGCCTGTCAGTCATAGAAGGGTCGCACAGCTGCCTCTCGTGCAAGTGCAAACTGGAGCGCGTGGGGAAAGCTGCCTGTGCTGGAGGACTCGCCCGTGCCCAGAATCGTCCCCGAAGCAAGAGGGCTTCCAAAAGTTTGCACAAAGCACACCAGGCTCTGGGAGAGGCTTTGACAGTGCACTGCCCGCTGCACTGCGCTCTGCAGGTACGGGAGGCTGGGAGAGTGTGTCCTTGGATGGACTTCCTGGAGGGAGAGGGATCCTTCTGTGCTGGAGGGAGAGGCACCGAGTCTGAATACAAAGCTCACAGAGTCAGCCTGAGTGTCTGTGGGGTCCACAGTCCAGGCCTCAGCTGGCTGTGGTCACAGCGATTTGACAAAAGCAGACTTTCTTTCCTTGTTGTTATTCCATAAGGGGTACAGTGTAACAACGACTTAGTTGTATTTGCATGGTATCAGCTATTGTAAGTCATCAGAGAGGATTTCAAGAACCCGGAGAGGTGCAGAGGTTAAACACCAACATCCCGTTGTGCACGAGGGGCGTGGGCATCTGGGCTTTGGGTGTTCTTGGGGTCCTAGAGTCATATCCATGGCTCCCCCAGGACAGCCGTGTCGTGTGCTCTGAGAGGGACCCTGTGTGTTCTCGCTGTTGAGATGACTTCTGATGTAGACAGCAGTGCCTTGTAATTCTGTTTCATAAAGAAGGTGCTGGGTGTTTGTAGGAATTCCTTCACCTGTCCTCGGTTTCAGGGGGCGTGGTTACTCTCCAGGTACAACTCAGATGAGGGCGGGCAAGGCCTTTCAAAGGAGAACTCCAGATAAAGTCTTAGTGGCGTGGAAAAACAATCCCCAGCCAGTGTTGTTTTTTTTTTGTTTTTTTTTGTTTTTTTTTTAAATGGATTAACCTTTTGAAGAAAGAAGAATCAAAAGCAAAGAAATATGTCTTGATAATGGAAAGCTATACAGGAAAGCGGGTGCCGGGCTCTAAGCAGATTGAGTACAGGGAGCGGGGGGAGTGTAGGAGACTGAAAATAGAGCAGAGAAGCCAGTGTGGAGGCTGACGTCACCCGCAGGCCGGGAGTTGGGCTTACTCCTCAGGTGGCGCCGTCGGGTGCAGGTGGAACCTTTGGGGGTGGGGAGTTGAGGTGGGGGAAGGCGGGTAGCAGGTCCTGAGGACGTGGTGGGGAGTTGTCCTCAGAATGCCCCAAAGGGCATTTCTTGGGGCCAGCACCGTCCAGTGGAACTGCCTGAAATGGTCTTGGCCTTCAGTGTCCCACATGGCATGGGACACTAGCCCCGCTTGGCAAGGGACTCTATCATGTGGTGTGGGACTCTATCATGTGGCAAGGGACTCTATCATGTGGTGTGGGACTCTATCATGTGGTGTGGGACTCTAATACCTTGTGACACGTGGCATGCGACACTTGGATTGTGGCTGCGGCAAGTAAGGACCTGGATTTCAAACGTCACCTCCTATTCGTGAGTGTGAATTTAACTCAGCAGCACAGAAGCCTGGTGGCTGCCGTCCTGGGGTAGTGCAGGCCAGGAGCGTGAGAGGCATCGGCTGTTGGGAAGTGACAGCAGCTGCTGTGTGATGTCAGAAGGGAACCCGAGGCTGCTGGGAAACATGCTGCCTGCGGGGCGCATGTTACTGCTGTGCAAAATGCTTTGCGTCACGTCTAATGGGGTGTTCATCAAACGCCAGGTGGGAGCCAGACTTCGAAGGTGTGGGACGCAGCTGCGGTTCCAGGTCCCGTCAGCTCCTTCCAGGCACAGCGAGCTTGCCACACCTGCCCCCAGGGTGCCCAGGTGGTAGCCATTCTGGGTGCACCGGTCCCGAGATCTGCAAGCCTGGGTCTCACTCGGTGCCCCTGGGCCCTGATCAAGGATCAGGCCCAGGCATTGGCTGGCACAACCGGTGCATCTGGTCCACCGCGAGTTGACCACAGTGGCTGCAAGCGGCTGGGTCTTTAGAGCAGTTACGCTCTGTTTTGCGTGAATGTCTTAATGCTTGGCAGTTCTGGAGTGTACTTCATCTGGAAACATCTCGTAGGCGTGTCATCGGACGCTGCAGAGGCCGACCCAGTGTATGTGTTGCTGAGGCTGGGAAGGACTGCGGAGCTCACCGGCCTGGGCCACGTTTCCTTTTCCTGCTGAGGGCCTGGGACTTGGGCCACGGACTTGCCTCCAGGCACACGGTGATTGGCGACAGAGACGAACCAGAACCCAGTCCTGCGACCACCCAGCTTCGTTTTACTGCGAGTGCTGTGCTCGCCTTTGGAGCGCACCCCACGTTTGGACAGCATTTCAGCTTGAGAGCCCTGCTGTGTTATGACATCCCCTCTCAGTCTCCATTCTCTCCGAATGCCTCCTGCCTAGATAAAGCCCATTTCTGATGAAAGAATTCAACTTACCGAACTCACTGCATTCAAATAAGCCCTTTAAACATTCTGCACTTTCAAGCTCTTATTCTGGATTCCATTGCGAGGTGATAATGAGGTGCTGAAAACTAATTAGATCATCAGACGAAGCTGTCTGCTCCGCCATCTGCCCAGTCTAGAGGGCAGTCCCTGGGCGAGCTGAGAGCAGGCACTAAAAATACCCAGCTTCCCCCGCTTCCCTGCTCCTGCTGGCCGCCTGGCGGAGAAGGCTTCTGTGAGACTCCGGGCTGCACTGTGCAGCCTGCCGGCACCAGCGTGGGCTCTCAGGCCCACGGGTTGTCACGACCGCCTGGCTGGTGCTGTCCTCCCCGACTGTCCTGTGGGCCCCACCCTCCTCCAGGGCAGGCAGTGCCTGCGGGGTGGAGCTGATTCAGCTGCCAGGGCCTAGGTGGCACATGCAGGGTGCCCCTCACCTGGGTTTTGAATGAATCCTTGGGCTCTTTCTGTAGGTGACGTCAGTGTCCACTCTCTGTTTGGTGGTGATGCCCCCCAGAGCGAAGCAGGTGTGGGGCAGGTGTGGAGCAGGTGTGGGGGGAGGTGTGGGGGCAAAGGGGTGAGCAGGTGTGGGGGCAGGTGTAGGGGTAGGTGTGGGGGTAGGTGTGGGGCAGGAATGGGAGCAGGTGTAGGAGCAGGTGTGGGAGCAGGTGTGGGAGCAGTTATAGAGGCAGGTGTAGGGGCAAGTGAGTTGGAAACAGAGGGAGAGACTGGGCCCAAACTCAGGCTTTTGTGACCAACCTCTTGGGAAGAGGGCCTTGGGTGAGAGCGCCCAGTGACCTGATGTCCTCCCAGTGCACCCCCTCCCCACACCGAGGAATCCACCCCCTCCCTTGGGAAGCCCCCCTGTTACCCCTGAGCAAAACCGGGCACCAGCAGTCCACTGCCTGTGCATGTCCCGCCCCCTGGTGAGAGTCTCACCTGGCCACACGCTGCCTGTCTCCTAGAGGGGATGGACTCCAGCACGCGCCCCTGAGGGGACACCACATTGCACCACAGCACCTGGCACCTGCGCTGGGTGCCTTTGTCCTCACAGGGGCTGGAGGGGAGGCAGTCCTGGCCAGGAGCACTCAGTTTGCACACATGGGAGGGGTCAGAGGGGTCAGGGTTCACGCACATGAGGCGTGGCCGGCAGTGTGCTGACCCTGCCAGGCGCTGGCCAGGAGCGAGCCCTGCTGTGAGCACTTCGTGAGTGTCCCCAGAAGCCTGGTCAGACCCTGATCTCCGCGTCACTGCTGCAAAGCCAAAGCAGCACTGTGACACGGCTTTTCTAACTGGTAAGTGGACAAGCCACATAGAGAGAGAGGGAGACACACACCGAGACAGAGAGGGGAGGGAGAGCCAAGCAGGTGGCTTCTCTCTTCTGCCTCTGAGCAGGGTGGCACCGCGGGGACCCACACACGGTGGCCCAGGTGAAGTGTCAGGGCATCGCTCCTCATTCCTTGTGAAGCCCTTCTGGTATCAGCAGACAAGCCAGGCCTGTCTGCGGGGTCCTGGGGGTGCCATTTAGGTGTGGGGGTCAGGACCTCGGCCCGGAGCTCACTAAACACGCCTGCTCTGCACAGAAATGAAATCTGCCGAGCGTGGAGGACTGTTTGTAGGCCGAGCTGCTTTCTCTGTTCCCTGCTACTCAGCTCCCACCCCCACCTCTCCCTGTGCACCGCCCACCCTCCGCACAGCAGGCTGAGGAGCCCCCAGGGCAGGTGCTACCTCCTTCCTCTCTTTCCCTCTTTTACCACACACTCATGCCCATGCACACCCACACCCACTCACATTCAGACAGGGCTCACACCCATGCACACACCCATGCACACCCACACCCATGTGTGCACCCACACACCCACACACGTGTGTGCACACACCCATGCATATCCATATCCACATGTGCACCCACACACCCACACACGTGTGTGCACACCCCCATGCACACCCACACCCACTCACATTCAGACAGGGCTCACACCCATGCACACACCCATGCACACCCACACCCATGTGTGCACCCACACACCCACACACGTGTGTGCACACACCCATGCATATCCATATCCACATGTGCACCCACACACCCACACACATGTGTGCACACCCCCATGCACACCCACACCCAAGTGTGCACACCCCCCACATGTGTGTGCACACACCCATGCACATCCACACCCACGTGTGCACATGCACATTTGCGGACTCACACTCATGCACACATGCACTCACACACATTTACATATAGGCAGGCCACTCCCTGGAAAGCTTGGGATATGAGTGTGGCCAGGCTGGGCCCTCCTCACAGCTGAGGGGGAGCCCAGAGCCCTTGTGTGGACAGGGAGCCTCTGCAGCTGTCCTTGGCTCCTGGTGACATGTGTCATGTGTCACGCACACTGCTGAGGGCTGAGGGAAGTCCACCGACCTGTCCTCCGTGCCTGTGTTTCTGCTCCCGCTGTAGCCCTTCCTGCTCGCTGCTCACCCACAGCTGCACCCAGGGTCCCCCGGGCGTGGGTGTGGGCGAGACCGTGCCTGCCCACTGGAGCAGAGGAAGAGGAGGAACTGAAAGATTTCCTGGCACAGGAAGCGGCGCATGCGGTGAGGCTCACTTGTCGCCGCCACCTGCTTGGGCCACAACGTGAGAGACACGGCTGCCTGCCTGGCCGCAGTGTGGGGAGGGCAGGATTTCGGCACGACAGCTGTGCATCCGTCCCATTTTCGCTTGGTGACCTTGTGAGTTGAACCCCCAGGTTCCCAGCCCAGGCTGTTGCAGCTATTTGCAGAGTGAACCAGTGGAAGAAGGCGCTCTCGCTCTCGCTCTCTCTCACTCTCTCTCACTCGGTCTTTCCAATGAATGAACAGAATACTAAGAGTGAAGCGGGGTCCCTGCCGGGTCCGGGTCTGGTTGGTCTCCGTGCCTGAGGGGGGCGCACCCTGTAAAGGACAGGATGAGGACGTCTCCGGTCCTGGAGGTGGCCTCTTCTCTCCGCGCCCGTGGCTCCCGTGACGTGCGGAAGCTGTGTAGTTTGATGCCGCGCTGTCTGCCCAGCTTTGCTCCCGTCGCCTGTGCTGTGGTTGCACCCACAAAGTCTCTGCCCAGACGAGTGTCGCGAGCCCTTTTCCCCTGTGTTTTCCTCGAGCCGTTTTGGGTTGCAGGTCCTGCGTCGAAGGTCGCCCTGCGTGCTGAGCTGGTGGTGGCTTGTGGGGCGAGACGGGGCCCCTTCCCATTCCTCTGTGTGCAGTGAAACAAGCCGGGGCTGGCAGACGACTGATGCACCACCTCACCCACCCGGGGGATCCAGGGAGGAGAAGCAGCAGGGTGGGGCGGGTGAGATATTGGGCCAGGACGCAGAGTCTGGGGCAGGCTGGGGGCGTGACTTCCGTGACCTCTTGCCCAGCGTGGGGACTGCAGTTCATGTAATGTGGCACAGATCTCACCGTGGTGAAAGAGCCACACAGTGTCTTCCCCACGGGGAATCGACCAGCAAGTGAGTGGGCGGGCGTGTCAGCCTGACGTATCCATTCCACAGTGAACTTCAAAAGTTCATGGAAAGTGGAATTAAAGGCTATGAATGTATTTCAGTTTGAGAAAACGCTGAAACCCATGCATCCCGGGGGTCTTCATGGGAGATGCACGCTAGAGGAGAACCCTGCACGGCTGGCAAACACTCGAAACGTGTCATTGTGCATCACGCTGTGCCCACCTAAGGCATGCGATTGTTATTGGTCAATCAGCAATGAAGTAAGATCAGAGAAACAAGAGACGGCCCACTGGAGGGGGGGAGGCCGGCGGGATCTGTGCCCCTGCCCCACCCACTGTCCGGGCCCCTCCCTCAAAAGTCACTGTCCCCTGCTGGCCTCCAGGGTGTGGTCAGAGCACAGCCCCACGATGCTGATCTTCAGTGCCAGACGCTGCACTCCCGCCAGGGCCCAGGATTCAGGGAGAGCCCGGCCGACAGCCCTGGCCAGGCCTCAGGAAGGACCAGCTTAGGACTCCTGCAGCCGCGGGGAGGCTGGCGCCTGCCGCTAGACACTTGCCTCCTCGTTCCAATCTGTCCACTGAATCGTTAAATGAACTCTTTAATTTGACTAGCCGCCTGTGCTTGCCAAACCCAACCCCAGCCAGCAGCTGCACCCCGCAGGCCAACTGCACCCCTGCCGGGGAGCTGGGGGAAGGGGCGAGGCAGGGTGAGGTTTGGCTTCAGAATGGGCTTGCTGGACAGCCCTCCTGGGCCCCTCCCGGGCCCCTCCTGAACCCGAGAGCCCAGGGTGGACGCTGTCCCCTGCGGGGGGTTTGAAGCGCTTCCTTCCGTCTCAATGCCACTTGCTTGCTTGTTCTCGGGGTGCGGATCATCGTGCAGGGTGTGGTGTCTCTCTCTTCCTGAAACGAGAAGCCCCGCCCTGCCTAGTGTCCAGGGAGGCGAGTCTGGTGTGACAGTCCATGGTGTGGCCAGGGATGAGGTGGCTTCTACACCACCGACTCTGTTCACCCTGAGCAAGACGAAGCCCAGAGCCACGGACAAGCTGCTCCAGCCCTCTGGAGGGGGGTGTGGCCTCACACTGGCTCAGGAGGGGTGTTTGTCCTGTTCCAGCTGTGCCTCAAGGTTAATATCCACCCTCAGCATCCTGCGTTGTGCGGGGGCCAAGTCATGGCGAAGAGCATCAGTATCCTAGCGGCTCTGTCTCGACTGTGCCAAGCGGTGGCTTAACCGCTGTGCCATCTGCCTTCCCTCTCATAGATTGACAGGCAGAGTGGACAGTGAGAGAGAGAGAGACAGAGAGAAAGGTCTTCCTTTGTCGTTGGTTTACCCTCCAATGGCTGCTGCGGCCAGTGCACTGCGTCTGGCGCATCGCACTGATCCGAAGGCAAGAGCCAGGTGCTTCTCCTGGTCTCCCATGTGGGTGCAGGGCCCAAGCACTTGGGCCATCCTCCACTGCACTCCCGGGCCACAGCAGAGAGCTGGCCTGGAAGAGGGGCAACCGGGACAGAATCCGGCGCCCCGACCGGAACTAGAACCCGGTGTGTGCCAGCCGCCTCTTATAGATCTTTAGAACTGTCATCCCACCTCCCAGTAAGTTGTGCCCTCTGACCTATTTCTGTCATTCTCCCCCCGCCTTGGGGACCCCCGTCCCACTTGAGACTCACTGTGAGAGTGATGACGCAGCACCCTCTGCGTCTGGAGAACCAGGATGCATTGAAGGACCCGGGGGGTTCAGGAGAGCACGGCCTGGGGTCAGTGTGGCCTCTCACCGCCCCGCACTTCCTGGGCTGTCACTGGGTGCAGCTCAGGCCCGGGTGGACAGCGGCCAGCCTTGCAGCAGGAGGGCTCCTGTGGCCGTTGCCGGGCCCTGTTGTGCAGTTGCAAGGCTGGCACCAGGGCTGGACCTGAAGTTCTGCAGGCAGGAGCGGGAAACAGTGCGCGGGAGAGGGGGGCGCGGCTCGGGCCAGTCTCCTCCCGGCAGGCGGGGGACGCCTGCTGACCTGGCGGAACACTGGCTTTTTGTTTGGCCAGGAGGGCCGAGATCCTTTTCTGGTCCAGTCTCGGAGAAACACAGCCAGCACGCTGTCACGGCTTCAGGAAGGCTTTGGCGAGAGATCCCTGCTATGGTCTGAATACCGTCTGTTCCTTCAACACTTACTGGACTTCAGACCCGTTGTGAGATACTTTTAACCATTTTTAACATTGAGTTACCGACGCATTTTACAAATCGAGACAGGCAGAAAGAGCTGTCATCTGGTGGTTCACTCCCTGAATGCCTGCCACAGACACGAGTGGGCTAGGCCGACCGGGAGCCGGAACTCAGTCTGGTCTCCCGCGTGGGTGGCAGGGCCCACGCTCTCAGCTCATTATCTGCTGCGTGCCAGCGGTCTCTTCAGGAGCGGAATCGGGAGTGGAGCTGGTGTGGGCGCAGGGTCTTCACTGCTGTGCCCCACACCTGCGCTCCCAGTGTGCCGTGCTGAGCGCGTGTGGGATCCTGAAGAGGTGGCCAGGCTCCGCCCCGGGCTGGATGGGTTCCTTCCCGTGACCGGTGCACTCGGTGGGGTCATGAGTTGCCTTGAGGGTGGCCCTGCTGCAGAAGCCACAGGGCCCGTCTCCTGCTTGCTTGCCTTCTCTGTGGCTCCCTGGGACTCTGCCCCCAGGGAGCCGTCACCAGGGAGACCGGAACCCGGCACCCTGATGGTCTTTGTTATGGCTGAGCCGCTCTGTGCTCTCGTGCTGTCAGCCACAGAAGGCAGGCTGAGAGCGCCCCATCACCACGTTCTCACTGTGGGTTTACTTCGTGATGACGTGGCCTCCCGGCGCTAGGAGAATGCATGGAGCCTTCCAGGGGCAGCGTCCCGCAGTGCAGCCCAGGCCCCAGTGACAGGAGATGGGGGGAGCAATCCCTCCCTGCCCGTGTGAGGGGCCTCCCCCAGTGTGAGCCCCCTGATGCCTGCGTCCTCATCAGCTCCTGGGGCCTCGTGCGGAAGCATGTGGGGCCGCCCCGTGGCAGGCTGGGCAGGCCTGCAAACATGTCTGCAAACCTCATCCCACCCGCTTCTGTGTCGCTGCCCGGCCCTGTCCCGAGTCACTGCCCTCTTCTGTCTTGCCTTGTCCTGGGTCCAAGCCCTGAGTCACTCATTGTGACTCTGCCTCCCACAGAGGGGTCCTGCCCTTGGCCTGTTGGGGGGTTGGGAGGAGCCAAGTGGGGTGAGGAGCAGTGGGGGGACACAGAGTACGAGAACACTGAGAATTACGCTCCTTGGGTCACAGACTGCTTTCAGCAGGACCACCAGGCTGAGTCCTAGTCGCGCTGGGTGCATCACGGTGTAGGCGGGGTGGTGGTTTTGGGAAAACGAACCCTTCTGGTCCACCCCAAACCCCGGAGCCCTGCCCGCCGGGTGGGGGCCCTGCCCCCGGCTTTGCTGGACTTCCTGCAGGGCGGTGGTCTCTGCTCTCACATTCCTCCCTGCTGGGGTGATCTTACATTTTAGAGGAAATCACGGACTGGGTTTATGAGGTGGCTTTCAGAGCAGTGCAGGAGGTTGGGTCGGGCGGTTTCCCTGGGGCCGAAGGTGTCCAGGAATCCCCGCTGTGAACGCAGGCGCTCGGCACAGGGTGTGCCGTCAGCCCCCCACCAGAGCAGGCAGACGCCCCACTGTGGCCTGTGCTGTGGCTGTGGCCGCTTCTGTTCCTTTTGCAGTTGGGGTGTGCAGGATGCGTGAGAGCGCGTGCAGCGGTGTCCGGTGACGCGTCTGAACGAGGAGACTCTGGGGGCTGTCTGATGCTTCCCTGAGCTCTGCAGGTGTCCACAAAAGGAGAGCTCGCCGAGCGCTGGCCTGGAGACAGAGCTTGCTCCCACGGGGACGCGGGAACCTCTCCGGAGGAGGAGGAGCCGCCATCTTCATTCACAGGGAAGGGGCTTGAGAAACAAGAGCCTTGAGTACTTTCACTTTTGTGTGGCACCCAGCACAGAGCAGCTAAGCATCAGCTGTGTCTGCCTCCGTGAGGCGGGGCCACCTGCCGCCACCACCTCGGCACTGAGGGCAGCGGGGTCTCTTTGGCTGCACTGGAGAGGGCCCGGGGATACTGCACTGTCCTGCTGAGGGTGACTGCCCACCCGCTGCACCTGCCACACTCAGGAGTGGGCGGTGTGTTCCCTGGCGCTCAGTCGTGAGGTGCAGTGTGGACGCAGCACCACCACCCCGCATGAGACCGCGGCTGGGGAGTGGAGAAGGGCTGAGGGCACAGGCTCTGGCTGCAGGTGTGGTCCCTGGCCTCTGTCTCTCCATCCCCCTCTCCGTGTTCACAGTGAGCCATGGCCCTGGAGCCACGGGTGGGGCCTCTGAATCCACCCAGCAGCTCTAGGCTTCAGGGGCGCCCCCAGTCCTGTGCAGGACGTCCCAGTCTGGTTCCAGCTTCTTGGGGCAGGAGGTGAGCGTGAGCCCCCTGGGTATAGATGGTAAAACAGAACAGCACTCGAGCTGCATGCGAAGGGAAAACCCAGGCCTCCTTCTCCCCGCGCCGTGCGCTGGGCTTTCCAGGGGTGCCGAGTTCACCGGCCGAGTGAGTGGGCGCCCTGTGAGATGGCGCCTTGTGCACGAGAGGGGGGTGAGTGACCGTCCTTCCAACTGTTGCTTGTTACTGAACAGCCTGGCCGTGCATGGCTCCCAGAGGCTCCCCAGGACCCAAGCAGCACAGCGTGGGAAGCGGCACCCACGCACTTTGTGTCTCCGTGTGTGCCCATTGTCCCTGGACCGCGGGTGACGGTGATGAGTCCTGACAAAGGGCCCACATGGCGGCAGCGACAGAGCAGGCGGTGCCATTCCAGACCCGCCCGTCTGCAGTAGTGTCGCTCTAGCCCTGTGCTGGGATCCTGACAAGGCAAAACCCTGGCAACATGGGCTTGGGACCCCACGTCCTCCATCCTCCCTGGTCACCCACCATGAGGGTTTTCCATGAAGACCCCCTCCACGCAGTCTGTAGGAGGAGGTCCCTGCTGTGACCCCCTCCCTGCTGAGACCCCCATGCAGTCTGTAGGAGGAGGTCCCCTCTTTCACACACTGTCTTGTCAGTGCTTGGGACGTCATCAGGTGCTCACCGACTCCTGCTATGGGTCCCCTGGCCTCTGCTGGTGGCCTGCTCTGGTAGCTTAGCCACTGGGCGCTGCCTGGCCACTGTCGCACGGAGCAGAGCTGTGCTCCCCTGCCTTGCACGGAGGGCCTGGTGTTGGCCCCAGAGCTCTCATACGTGTGCGTGGGTATGTGGTATATGTGGCCCCAGCTGCTCCTTTGGAGGCCAGATGGGAATGATGCAGGACTCTGGGTGAAATCAACATGGACTTTACGTTGAGCCGCAGCCGTGTCTGCCCTGACAGGGCAGGCGGTGGCCCAGCAGGCTCTGTTTTGTTGGCTGCAGGCTACCGTGGTGTCAGTCTCAGGCAGCCTGGGCCTGCCAGAGAGGACCCACTGATCAGCGGCGCTGGCTCCCGATTTCTCTGGCCTGCAGGAGTTGTGCAGACAGCCGCAGCAGCCCCTTGCTCCCTCCGCCCTCCCATGAGCCAGCAGTGCTGTGTTTGGGCAGTGCTGGTGGAAACTCTGAACCATAGCCAGTGCCAGCCAGTCCCAAGCCGCGACCCCTGGAGACGAGGATTGCATAGAAGGCATTCAGCAGATCTGTGGAAAATGGAATTAAGACAAGTTTGTTTGGGACAAAAAATTGGGACGTCCATACATATGTTGGGTCTTCACATAGTTCGTGAAAAACGCATGAGAAAATTAGGCTTGGGTCTCGAGATATTTCCGACAAAATGAATGCATCTGTGAAGTTCACGTTTCCAGGAACTCCTGGAGCTGTCTGTGGTCTCCCTCCATCTGGCTCCAGCCACACCGCCGGGAGTGTCCTCTCACCACTGCCCTTCCCGCGAGGTAGCCCCAGCGCATCCAGGAGCCTGGGCCTGAACAGAGCAGAAGCCCATGCTGGCCGCTGCCAAGTCCTGAGTTCTCTGAATACGGCTTTCTGTGCCGCAGACAAACTATAGGACCAACCCCTAGCCAGGCGAGAGCAGCCGATCCAGAGGCGGCGAGATGGAAACCCACAGTTTACGTGCTAGGAACCTCTGTTGTGGGAAGTGGCCATTACAAGAGAGTGCTGAGCACTGAACAGGTGTCAGGAGGCCCAGGACACTGCTGCCCATGGGACGGAATCCACGTTTGTGAGTCTCCAACCACGTGCCAGGCACTGTGGTCCACGCCCATCATCCATGCCTAGCTGACCGCCATGTGGATGAGGGACAGGCTGTGCCTGTCTGAGAAGACCGGTGGCTCTCACTGGCCATGGCCCACAGGCGCACTCCGTGGGCATTGCTTTGTGGGGTCATGTGGGCCCTGGCAGGGCTCTGCGTCCCTCTGGGTGCAGGACAGCTGGGCTCTGTCTTGGGGAGTAGGCTGCCAAGCTCATCACGGACTCCTGAGGCCAGGACTGTGTGAGCCGAAGCCTCGGTCAGAGCCATTCCAGAGCCACCCTGCCACTGGCGATCCTGTCCGAGGGAGGAAGGAGCCCAGGTCCACTCCCTGGCCACCCAGTGTCCTGTGAGGGCACAGCCTTCCTGGTCTCTGTGGTGTCCACACCGAGTTTTCTGTCTTGACTCGATGTAGTTCTGTTCCTGTCTGTGTGAATTCTCTCTGCTCAGACCCAACCAAAAAGCAGATGACATGCACCCAGGGGCGGGGGGCGGGTGCAGCAGGTGATGGCTCAAGTTCCTGGGTCCCTGCCACCCACCTGGGAGACCCAGACTCTTGGCTTTGGCCTGGCTATTGTGGGCTTTTGGGTGATGAACCAACAGGTGGACGATCTTTATCTCTGCCTTTCAAACAAGAGACTGTAGAACAGGTGTTGCTGGAGGCAGGCGTGGGGGCAGCAGAGTGCCCACGCCCTGGGACCAGCAGTGCACACAGAGCACTGCCCTCCACCCTCCGTCTGCTCTGTGTTCCCTCTCTGCGCGTCCGAGGAGAGTGCTCGGGTGTAAGATGGCATCTGAGAAGTGCACCTGCTGTGAGGAGTGGGACTGTGGCTGAGCCATTGCAGGAAGAGCAGCCCCCGCCCCAGGCCCTGGCGGTTGTGGCCGAGTCTATGGGAGCCCGGTTCTGCCTGTCATCCTCGGGCCGGCTCCAGGCTCAGAAATCCAGGCCTGGCTGGTGGTTTCCGCTGCTTTGGGTCTGACAGCCGGGCCATGTGTGCTGGCCTGGGCGAGGCCACTGGCAGGGGCTTTGGAGTCTCCTGGCGCGGGTTCCCTGTCCTCCCAGGGCATCCACTGCTCATGCCCCTCTCTGTGGGCCATGGTCTCCCGGGGGAGAGACATGGGGTTGCGCCTGGCTCTTCCTGTGGGCATGGGGGCAGCGTGTGAAGCTGGGCAGGGTTTCTGAGTGGCTGGGGCACTGGAGTTCCACTGTGGCCCCGCAGCCGCAGCCTGAAATGATGCGTGGCCACGGCAAGGGTCTCATGGCCTGTCGGGGGCACCCAAGCCCCAGAGCAGGTAGCAGGCAGTCGGGTGCGCAGGTGCAGCATCCGTCCTGCCTGCCCTGGGGTGGATTTGATTGATGGCCTGGGGAGGTGGAGGTTCAAGTTGACCCTCTCCAGACTCCTGGTCAGGTGACTGAGGGGAGCTGGGAATTTGCAGGAAGCCCTGAAGCTCCCTGCACCAGGGACTGGAAGGCAAGGATTGTTTTCCTCTTTTCCTTCCAATATTAAATTTAATAAAAATATCATTGATTCTTTGTAAAGAGTAAAAATAGCTTTTATTATTATAAAATGAAAAATAGAGCTGCCAGATCTCTCAGCCAGTGACTTATCTCCCCCAGGCACAGCCCCGTGGGCCGCCTCTTCCCGCTCAGCAAGCGTCATGGTGGGAATTACATTACTTCTTAATGCACTGGCACGGGCATTAGTTAATTTTGTCAGAAAATCACTATGCAAAAATATCTTTTATACAAAATGAAGCTCTATGCTTTTATGTTTAAGCAACACTTTTCATTGTTTCTTGTTAATCATGCTAAGAAAGTCTTCAAACATTTTCAAGTAGAAATTGTAATATGTAGACTCTACA